ACTCTGCCTCAGCCGAAGAACGAGAGACAGTATGTTGTTTCTTTGTTTTTCAGGAAATGGGAGAAGAACCGAGAAAAACAAGCCAACCGGATAAAGAACGACGAGTCAAAGGACAACTAGCCCAATCCGAGTCACACCAAACTGTTAAGGAGAAATTAGCTACCGAAGAAAGGAGTATACCTTGACCGGGACTTCCCTTCAGATAGCGTACACAGCGTAGGGCAGCCTCCCAGTGATCATGGCGAGGAGTGTGCATAAATTGGGCCAAGACATGTACTGTGTAGGCTAAGTCGGGGCGAGTAAATGAGAGGTAAATAAGTCGGCCAACCAATCGACGATAACGTTCTGGATCCGATAAGATGAGAGGGCCCGCGGCAAGAGCAAATGAATGGTTTTGCTCAATGGGAAAGCTGACCGGTTTACTTCCCAACAAGTCGGTCTCAGAGAGAATATAAAGCTCATATTTTCGGTAAGAAAAACATAGTAATCCTAATTTGGAATTTCAATTTTAATTTAGTTCAATGATCATATTGTAAAATATAAGTGACTACATTAATTAATTACGGAGTATGTAATATTAGTTCCCACAAATCACGTTGTCACCATATAGGCCAATTGCTGCAATCCTTTTTTTGCATCAATCTCATCATCTATGATGTCATCAAGTATTCTTTATCTCATGTTATAAAAATAATATTAATAATATGCTACAAAGAATATAATAATATTATAATAGTGATATGATAGTAATTATAATTCACCATTAATATTTATTTTAACATTATTTTAAAATAAATTGATATAGTTATGCAATACTCCATCCGTCCCTTAAAACTTTGTCAACTTTTCTTTTTTGGATGTCTCATTAATTTTGACACTTTCTTTTTAAGTAAATAATTTGTGATTCCAGTTAATTCTCTTTCTTTAGCACAAACTTAAATCACTCAATTTTTACTTTATGAATTCTCTTGTCAGTCAAACTTGACAAAATTTTAACGGACGGAGGAATTATTAGATTCGAGTATTCCACAAATCACATCATAGGCACATAGGCCGACCAGCGGAATCACTTTTTGTATCTCATTATTTATGACAACACCATGTAGAATAATTCATCATTTACCGAATAATTAGTGATTATAACATCTTTTCTCAAGAAAAGGTTGAATCCCTAACTCCAATGGCTCTCATGCCTAACGCTCGTTGACTTTATACCCGTGTGCATTAATTATAACATCTTATGTTATACAAATTTTATGGTGATTTACAAGTATGATATTCTAGGTCAGGTATCGAAGACCATTGTTATTTAATCTAATTTTGAAACAATGATAAATTGTCTCCCTCTTTTAAGTTTGGATGTGCTTTTTGTCTTGAAAATGTTTTTTCAAATCATTAATGTGGTCATGAATGTTTGTTGATTCGTGAACTCTACCTATGAGCATAAAAACTACTTAAAAGTTTGATTTTGTTAGCTTGGACCAAGTCGAAAATTATGTAATTTTGGTTCGATTTTAGTTTGTCTTTGTATGAGAATCGAATTTTCAGTTCAGTTTGAACTTTCCCATTTCGGTTCACCCACCGAATCAAGCATAGTTCTGGTAGAACAACAAAGTATTTGTGTTTAATTTGTTTCTAATTTTTGGAAGAAAGTAACCTAAATTGATATCACAACATTCAGATAGGGAACAAATAGACAAAAGGACCACTCTTAACCGCCGACTCTGGAACCAGACTTAGAGTCACTCACCTTCCAGAAAGCGATGTGACTCGATGATCATGTAATGGGTCTAATTGAGTCAACCACTGTTAAAATAGACTTCTCATCACCCAATCCTAATGTAAAAGTTTGGCATAAATAAAAATAAAACACAACAACGAAAACATTTGTCTTATGAAAAATGAGTAATAGTAAAAATTAATGATGTTTTAAAAGAAGTTTGACTTTAATAAAGTAAATGTTAGTAGTCAAGTACTTTGTGGTCTGATAGCATCACTGTGGCACTCACAAGGGCGAGGTCACAGGTTTGAATCGCATCTCAGTTCAATGATGTTGGCATTAACATAGAACATATACTATAATAATAGGTTAAAAAGAATTGCAAAAAAAAGAGTAAATAATAGTGTGTTTGGTGAAAAATGCTTGTTTGTGGAATAAAAATGTGAAAAACAATTACAAGCATCCCTGGCTTTGAGACTTAAACTTCTAATTTTATGTAACCACGTGTATTTGAAAAACTACTTTTACGTTTTTTTATAGAAAAAAGTATAATATTTCCGTCCCTTAAAACTTGGTTATCTTTGACTTTTAAATTTAATGGTAGTAAACTTTGGCTAATGATTTTGCTTGATATAATTTTTTAAAAGTTAAAAGTTAAGTACTTTTATGAAAGTATTTTCAGCACGAACATTTTGATATGATTTTTTCAATAAATCATTACATATAAAAATATACTACCTCCATCCCATTTAAAGGTTCTCGTGGCAAAATGACACGATTATTTAGACAAGGCTAAAGGGTCAAATAGGTACATGAACTAACTTAAAGTGTTCAATTGGCCCCTTATATAGGAGGTTCTGCCCGGCCGTCGCCAATTGGGGCGGTTCCCGGAGGAATTTTTTGATGAAATTTTTTAAGCATATTCTTCCTTAAGTCTAGTTTACCCATACCAAATTTCAGCTAAAAATTCAATCGGAAAGACAGTCAAATGATTTTTTGAAGATAACTGCGCAGTTAAACAGCGCAATACATTTCGGAAAATCATTTGACTACCTTCCCGGTTGAAGTTTTAGCTGAAATTTGGTATGCGTAAACTAGACTGAATGAAGAAGATGCTCAAAACAATTCATCAAAAAATTCAACCGGGAACCTCCCCAATTGGCGACGGGCGGGCTGAACCTCCTGTATAATGAGCTAATTGAACACTTTAAGTTAGTTCATGTACCTATTTGACCCTTTAGCCTTTAGACAATAATTAAATATGGTGATTTGAGTATATTTTGATAAATAATTTTGATGAGTATATAATATAATGTGTTATTAATGATAACTGTGATTTTATAAAATGTAGTTTTTTTTAGTATTTGATGATTAAATTGTCATTTACGAGTGTTAATTGTTTCCTAAAAGAGAAAGCGAGAACCTTTAAGTAGGACGTCCAAAAAAGGAAAGTGAGAACCTTTAAATGGGACTGAGGGGGTATCTCTGATCAAATTGAACTTGATTGACCAAAAAAATCAATCATGACAAAGTTTTAAGATAATTACTTAAATAGGAGTAAAACATGGAAGATGTGCAAAAACATGTTTCAAAATTCACCAAATAGGAGTTTCTTTCCTAAATGGTCAAGAATGCCCCTGCCATCGCCAGACCTGATGCCTGCTGCTACAACGCCGCCACTGTTATAGTGCTATAGTCCACCGAAGCTCCGCCGCCCACAGCCGACATGCCAGAATCATGTCACCGTCGCTGGCCTCCATCGCAAGTCTGCCAGCCGTTGAGCTCCATTACGGGGAAAAAAATCCAGAGTTTTTGCCTCATGCCCCCTGCCACCGCTGTCGGTCGGCACTGCCTTCTCCACCATCATCGGACCGTCCTGCCACCACCAGACTGCCTCATCACCAAAGGACTGCCCCAGTTATCTAGGAGAATGAGGGGGGAAATTAATTAGTCTAATTAATTAGAATAAGGGTATTAAGGGTAGAAAATCAATGTTTACTTCTATTTAGGGAATATTAGAAGGGTACATTTGTTTAGTGATAAGTTCTACTCCGTATGTTTTACTCAGAATTAAGGGCAATTACTTGAGTTTTCAAGGACGGAGAGAGTATTTATTTTAAAGTTTTGCAAACACACACCTAATTAGTGTAAAAGAAATTTGTATGGATCGAATTTAAACTTAAATGAGATCGACACTATGTATTTTCCTTTTTTCTAAAACATCATTTAGTTTTCATATTCGGTAATAAAGTTAAATAAAATGCTCTTCAGAGGGGTTCAAGAACAACAAAAGAGTTTAACAAAACAGCATTGTTTTGAGTTTTGACGATTTTTTGTTACTTATTATGACAAATTAAAGTTTATAGAAAACTATTTGTCTACATTGTATGAATCAGTTGAAATTAAACAAGCTTGCAGGGCCAACAGTGAGAGTGGGGAGTGAGGACAACAGTGATTGTGGCAAGTCACTAGATGGAATGGTGGAAAATTACGGTCAACGTTGATGACAGGTTAATGACCGACAATGATCATTAATCAAGCGACGACAGGGCACTTGTGACTTGTGAGCGATGATGGGTCACTACTGAGTAGTGAGTCACTGTTACAGGGTGTAATTATTAATGAATGTGGGTAGTGGTGGGCCGGGCCCAGTTCGGTTCCGGTTTGGGCCTAGACCCGTCCGAGCCTAAATGATTTTGGGTACGGCCGGGGACCGGCCCGGGAGTCTACCAGTTCCGGGCCGGGTCGGATCCGATTTTTTTTGTTTTCTTATTTATTTCAACCACTACCCCCTCATCCCCCCATCCCCCCCCCCCCAAACCCCTCGGAAACACCCAACCCAGCCCACCAAAACCCAGCCCAAACCCAAAAGAACAAAAAAAAAGGCCCAAACCGGGCCCAACGGGGCCGGTTCGCCTTTCCCATGCCCCGAAAAGGTCCCTGGTTACCCCCTCGGGCCGGGCCTAGGCCCAGAACCGGTTCCTGATTCCCGGGCCGGTTCCCGGGCCGGTCAGCCCGAACCGGGTCCATGACTAAATGTTGGCGTGGCCCTGTGGGTATAAAACTTGTATAACTTGCACGTTTTTAGAATGTGTGTAAAACTAACCCTATTTTTGTAATATCATGTTTCCTTTAGCTGAATCAGGCTTTCCTTTAGTTTTGGCCCTTTGGGTAACCATTAGTCATTACTTTTGTCATAGCAAACATAGTTTGTTTAACAAACACTAAATTTTTATTACACTCCAAATTGTGTAATAATCAAAATAAATAAAATTAGAAATACTTTTGAACTTAAACAGTTGACTTTGAGAATAAATGAATAATATAGCATCTTTGTATGATTAATCATTGAATCTTTTATTCTCAGTTCACACGGCAAAAAATATGCAACAGGCTGAAAACGTCCTGGTGTGTTGTGTGCTGTGATTTTTACACAGCAGACCGATAGATAACACCAACTCAACAAAAATAGACTCACATGGAATATAAGTTTTGGGGGTTAGAAATTTTGTTTAAAAACAACTTCAATGCTAACACCAGACTCCCGAACAAAATTCAGCTCTGAACTCATCAACCTCATCCCAACTTCCCTTTCTGCTGATGTTTGAGACCAGAATTCCTCATTACACTCATGAAGAAGCCTCACCAAAACTGTGGGTAAAGTCTAGTCAGTGACCACTCACTTGCTGGAACCAATGGCCTCTCCGAAAATTGAATAATTAATCACACGTGTCAGACTGGCATCATTGTATCTTGAAGATGTCTTTTAGTTTACGAAGAAGCTTCCATTCTTCAATAGAAAGATCTTTCTGCACAATTTTAAATGAAGGAGAAGGAAATCATTAGTTTCCGTGCTACGGATGATTAAAGAAGATTTTTTTTTAAAATGGCTATCTTAATACCCGGAAATTTTCCTTAAGTATGTCAATCGATCGCCTAGAAATCTTGCTGATCAGCTCATCTTCCATATCAAAATGCCTTCCAAACATCTTCTGTTGCTCTTCAGAGTTGGATCCAATTATCTGCCAAATGTGCCAAATGAATCAAATAGAATGTAAATAAAGGTAGACCATTTACAATGCAAGTAGAGAGATACTGACTCCAATACTACTTTCAACAAACAATGAAGGATTCACACCTTGATGGCGACCATTTGCCCTTTCTTTGCAGAATCTACAGGTTTATGGTTGTTTTCAATAGACGCAATCCGACCAATCTCAATAAAGTCTCTTGAAGGAATACAGATAGGAGTTCCAACCTGACAAAGTCAAGTTTATATCATGAATTCACAGCTGATGACATGTTCTTACAAATACGCTTTTAGCTGAAATGCTGAAGTATACTTTTAGCTGAATAACAATAATAATAATAATAATAATAATAATAATAATAATAATAATAATAATAATAATAATAATAATAATAATAATAATAACAACAACAACAACAACAACAACAATAATACTCCCTCCTTATTGAAATGTTTGGTACAATAGGGTTTGACACAGTAGTTAAGGGAAGAGTAGTAAGGAGAATGAATAATGTAGAAAAAGTAAGAGAGGTTGAAAAAGTACGAAAGAGAAGATAAAAGGTAGAAAAAGTAAGGGAAATTGAGTATTTTTAAAGGAAAAACTTACCAAAAAAGGAATGTGTAACAAAAATTAAAATACATCGCAAAAAGAAAAGTGTAGCAAACATTTCAATACGGAGGGAGTAATGCCTTTTTGAAGGAGATGTTAGTTACCCGAGCAGACATCTGCTTCATTAGTTACATGCAAAACTAAGTTTCACAAATTAAATCTAAATCTAGATGCATTTAATTATAATAATACGATAAAAGTGAAGGAAATGCTAGTTACCCGAGCAATGCCTTCAAGAATATCAACACCCAGAACAATAGGATCCTTTTTATTGAAAACACAATTAGGTACAATCTTGAGAACACAGGGAAAGACAGCTTCCTCGGCAACTTCCTTCTTCTTTTCCTCCTTGAGATTATCAATGTAGGCTTTAAACTGATCGAACAAATGATATATAATATCAGCAATAAAAATCTTTACGCCATATTCATCTGCAAGTTCACGGGCTTCTTGTGTGACTTTAACATCAAAGGCAAGGATTGTTGCATATTCTTTCTTCTTCTCAAGCATGACGCTGGCTTTCATGACATCCTTTTTGTGTACAGGTCCTATTCCAATACCACTAACAGGTATGCTGACATCTGGACTCTTCAGAAACTCCAGCAAGGCTTCCAATGACCCAAGCGTAGATGCCTGGACATAAACACCCTCCCCACTCTTATCAATCCTGCTCATCACTGACCTCATATCTTCCATGGCTACTTCTTTTATGTCATCCACATCATCATTCGGTCCCACAACATACAAACTAGTGCCTGCAATGGCATGTTCAAGTCCCTGCACAATGATTCACCGCAGCCAAGAAAAAAATTACTCTTTCAGTAATAGATGGGCATAAGCAACCCACTTGTGAATATTTCCTAATTATATATAAGGTGCAGTTCCAATAAAATGTGATGTTCCCGTGCAAAGTGTGAACGGTTGTCCTTATTGTCATGCACGGTGCACTTTTGTCGTCAAACGATGCACTTTTAGAAATGATGGAAAATTTTGACTTAGTTACGAATATGCCACTGTGTTTTTGATCATTTTTAATACATTGTTGGAATATTTAGAGCCATTTAATCTTAAATTGGATGCAACGGATCTATTCTTACTTTTCATATGAAGCGTACTTTTTATTTGAACTCATCCCGATAAAGCATGCATGCATACATATGTATCTCTCTTATAAAACCAAGAAACTTAGACACAACCATGAGGACATGACTAGACACAGCATTTGTGTCAAATCAACACCAGTTATTTCCAACTTCAATCGGGTTTAGAAATTTGACAGCCCAAAAACATGACTACGACATACTATCAATCTATCATATGATTTAGTGTTTCAGTTGGAGAAAAATGCACAAAACATCAAGTAGATTGCAGAATTAACTTTCCTATCGTTCAAATTATTTAGATTTCGACGTATCTTTTACATGTTTGTGAATCACAAGTTTATACAAAAAAACTTCAGTAGAAAAGACATTTTTCTATTAGTATCTATATCAGAACGTAGCTTGAAATTGCACATACACTAGTCATTACCTGAGCAGTAATCTTTATGCCCTGTGCAGCTTTGATTTCTTTATGGTGCAAATATGTACCCTGCAGACAGAAATAGAATACACTTGATAAGAATATAAGATGCTCCATGTAGCACACATTAAACTAAGGCTACATACATGGTACTTCATTTGATATTTATATGTGTGTGTTTTTGTGTTCTTAATCTAAGTTGGATCGTTTCGTTTTGGCTCCCTACTGCCGTCCAGTAAACAATTTCTTCGGAGTAAATCCATAATTTAAGGCGCAAGCGAACATACACAAATAAAAACGATTGGCTAGTGATGTATAAGTAACGTTAAATGTATATATGACCACAATTAGAATAAAAAGAACTAGAGCAATTGACACCAACCTTCACTCGGAGCTCTTTCATTGGGTGAGGAGTCAGTAATGCCCGAATAGAGGTCACAATAGGCTCTCCCTTAAACACCAAAAACAATGCTTAGCTGGAATTAAGGTACAACAAAATTTTCAAACTGTAGACCAAGATACATCATGTTTTAATTTTTACCTGCGTGCCACAAACAACTATTTGGTCTCCTTCATGAAGCACACCATTAACAAGCACTACATCAATGGTAGTTCCATGGCCTTCAATAACCTTTACCTCCAACACAGTACACTGCAAAAGGGCGACCAAAATTAAGAGCACTACATTCAAGATAAAATTCCAAGCGACTCAAAGAAGAGATTAGGAAAGCGTGCCTGGACTTCATTGCTAAACGTAAGCCTCTCAGTCATTGTCTTTTGAGTCCATTGGACAAGTAATAGCAATAAATCAGGAATACCTTCACCACTGTTGATTGAGAAAGACCAAAACATCAGTATTATATACTCCCTCCGTCTCATTTATTTTGTCCCGTTTTACCTTTTCGGGAAGTCCCACTTATATTGTCCCATACCATATTTGGCAAAGTTTGTCTGGCTCTAAATCATTCTTACTTTATTCTTACTTTATCAATTAATATCAACCACACAAACTCACTTTTCTTAATAACCGTGCCACCCTCTTCCGGGACAATATAAATGGGACGGATGGAGTATATACTAGCAAGGTACACGCCATGCGCGAGGAAATGTGCCCAATCTAAATAAAATGACTTTAATAAAGGGCTGAAAAATCTTAAAGCTTTAATAATCCTCTTTCGCTAATTGGCTATCTCAAAATAATTAAGTTCATAAGAAAATAATTAGTGTTAGCTAACTGAAACATGTTAGTTAGAGCTTCACTTCATACATGATGAATATGGAATATACGGAGTATGAAATAAGCTATAGTTTGTTTGTTGAGAAACACGAATGCTATTTCCTCAAACATAATAATAACATAAGACAAAAAATCACTATCAATCACATAGATTGAATTTTATTTATGTGAATTCTCGCTGCAAGATGATTCTGTTTCAATATGTCATGAAGTTAACACCTTGAACATTGAAACTTTAGAGGTAACATATGTCGTTTGTTCTTATCTGTTTCAAGGTACCTTGTTTAGGCTGACGTATTGTGTAATTTCTCATCTCTCACTCTCACACACACACACACTATATCCGAACAGTAATCTAGGAATTACATAAATGCCAGTCCAATTGTTATTTAGACTCTTTCTGCAGTGCCCTGTCCGAGATACTATTTTTGCTTAAAATTTAATCATTGGCTGTGTTTCCATGGCTTCAGATGCAAGTTTCTGACTTAAAGGAAAACTATAGGTAAAGACAATAGGGATGAAAATATAGGAGATATTTGGAAGTAATGAAACTGTGTGGGCTGGGGAGCATTAATTAAGTCTCCATTTTTTCCTGATTGTTGAAGTATACAAAGATCAGAAGATTTTCACGCAACAAATTTCAATTTATAACAACATATGATTTCTGTCCTCTTCTAAACTTAATTGGTGTGTGTTCTAGGTAAGCCCATCCCAAATTTCATACACAAATACACCCATATATATAGAATAATATAATACTATAAAAGAATTTGGTCCAATAGGGCTTGATTTCGGGAAGGGGGAATCATTGACCAGACGGACGTGATGAATAGAGGACGAAAGCTTGGGTTAACGGAAAAAGGGCGGAAATATTGTGACAGCATCCAAGTGACCTTTTATATAAATAAGAGATATATAAGTTGTTAATATGGATTTGGGAAAGGAAAACATTAACACAAGGCAGATATAAAAATTTGTTAGATTAAAAAAACTAAATAATAATTAATGATGTACCCAAGAACAGGAGATTGAGTAAATAGTCACCTGATAGCACTAGTAGGAACAATGCTGGATGTATCTTTACCCATATCTTTGTTTTTATAGTACAATTCCGTATTCACTCCTTGCTCTTTGAACTGTGTGACTATCTGTAATTTTCATGTGTTTATTGTAAGTTAAGAAAACCAATACAGATTCAGGGGGCTGGGGGGGTATTTGATGAGTACAAGTAGTTTGTACATTACCTGAGTGAGCCTTTCCTTAAATTCTCGCTGAACATCTAGATTCTGTTGTTTCATCGCCTTCTGAATAGGTGAGTTCTTGCAAACTTTCCATCCATAAAGCCTGTCAACCTGACACCAAAGAATAAAAAAATGCATACTTAATATAGTCATAAGAAACCTAGGGACAAGGATTGCCTCATTTCAATAACACTCACCTTATTTAAAGCAATGATAAACTCTGTATTCCTCATCTTCAAAAGATTGAGTGACTCAATTGTTTGCTGCTCCAGTCCATGCATTATATCCACGACCAAAATTGCAATATCACACAAGCCTGACCCTCTAGAGCGGAGATTAGTGAATGACTCGTGCCCTGGGGTGTCAATGACCAACAAACCAGGGACCTTCAGTGTAGCATCCGCTTTTAGCTCTCTAGTTCTCTCTCTTATATTCCCTGCAGGAAAGTAGGTAGCACCAATCTGCTGAGTGATCCCTCCTGCTTCACCTTCTTGGACATTAGTGCCTCGTATACAATCAAGAAGCTTGGTTTTCCCGGTATCAACATGGCCCATAATGCAGCAGATAGGAGAACGAAGGTCCTTTTCACTTTTTTCAGGAAGTGCAACAGGTTTCTGTGCTTCCATTCCTTCTATGCCTTTTTTGTGCTTACTCTCCGGCACTGTCTCACTTTTCTTACTGTTCTCATTTTTAGGAACTCCCTTGGAAGCAATTGAAGAATCACGAACAGCTGCCTGCTCAACCTTCATCTCTTTTCTGACCAAAGCTTTTGGTTCTTCATCTGCTTCCTCATCAGAAAATGCACTTTTACCAGGCAGTTTTAAATCAGCTTCATCCCAGCTTTTTGCATCCCATTCCTCATCGTCTTCTTCTTCTTCTTGAATTCCATTTTCTTCCACATCAGCAACTTCTGACTTGTCTTCTGTAATCTCTGATCTGTCCTCCATAATCTCTGACTTGTCCTCTGTAGTTTCCACTTCTTCATCAACAATCTCATTTGCATGAGATTGTTGCTTTGGCTTCTTTGTTTGATACTTCGGTCGTTTTGTTCCCTCTTTAGGCATCTCCCCAGACGGGAGTGGTAGCCCCCCTGCATTGGCTAATATTTGTTTTCTCATCAGTTCTAATCTGCGAGCTTCTTCCTTCTGCTTTCCGGTCAGCAACTTCCCCTCTTGTTTCTTCTTCAAGAGCTTCTCCTTTTCCCTCTCCTTCTTCTGGCGTTTTTTTTCCTCTGCAAGCCTTTCTAACTCCTCTTGCCGGAGACGCTCTTCTTCTTCCTTCCTCAGCTTTTCTTCTTCTTCCCTTTTTTTCTTTTCTTCTGCTTCCTTGAGTCTGGCAAGTCTCTCTTGCATCTCCCTGACATGTTTAGGAACTTTTTTATCAGCTGCTTTACTCTTTCCGTCAGCTTTTGCCTCTTCCTGCTTCTCCTCAACCACAGCAGCTGCTGCCTTTTTCTCCTTTTCTTTCTCCTTCTTCTTTTTCTTCTTCTTTGCAGCTGCTGACTCCACCACTCCCTCCACAGTTTCTTTCTCAGGAATGTCTTCTTCTGTTTGACAAAGATTATTATCTTTTTCCTCTTGTGGTTTGGATGTTGGCAGTCCCTCTCCAAGTTCAGCTAAAACTGTGTCAATTTCATCATCTTCAGTTTTTTTTCCACCCTTCTTTTTCTTTGTTTTACCTTTTGGTTCAGGTTGTACCGGTAACGGCTGTAAGTTCTCTCCGGTAGAAGACGGAACAGGGACAGAGGAAGAAACTGATGGACCTTCACCAAGCTCTGCTAGAATCTTTTCAATCTCATCCTCGTCTTCTTGAACTGTTTTTCCACTCTTCTTCTTCTTCTTGGACTTGGTCTTTGAAACTCCAGCCATGTCTTCTTGAACCTGAATCTTGTTTTTTGTTCCTGCTGCCTCTTTATCCCTTTCAGCTAGGCTCAGTTTTTCAAAAGCATGAACTGCATCAGGTGCCTCATCTACGGGATCCTCCTCCTCAAGCATGTTGAAGGCAGTTTGATTCTTCTTTTTAGATGATTTCTTTTTACCAGAAAAAATAATCACAGATGCATCGTCTTCCTGAGCAGTAACATCCTCTTCTAGTGAATCGGTATCCATCTTAGCAAAATTATCATCGTCATCACCAAAACTGAAAGGGCTGCTCTTTTTTGCTGTTTTCTTTTTCTTTCCGGTGAAAGTGATATTAGGAGCTTCATCATCTTCCTCTTCATTAAGCTCCAAACTCTCCTGCAAATCATCTAGGCTGTCAAAAGCAGTGGCTGCAAACACACTTCTAACTGCTTTCTTACTAGATTTTGATGGCTTCTTCTTCCCTGTGAATGCAATGGAAGTTATTTCATTCTCTGCATTTCTGTTATCATCGTCACTATTGCCCAGTTGCTCAATCTCATCAAAAGTAGATTCCGTGGAAACACTTCGACCTGCATTCTTTTTCTTCTGATTCCTCATTTTTTACTGAAATAATTCAACTAGATACTTTAATGTAAATGATACACCTTCTGTTATCAATATTAATTAATGTATAAATGAAAAGGATAATTCATACATTCATACAGTGTTCCACCTAAAGAACTCCACACGAATAAATACACCTTAATACCTTATCCTAGAGAAAAAAACACAAAAAATATGAATAATAATGTAAAACAAAGAGCCACATTCTGTGTGAAATCACGCACCTATTTCTTGAGCCATGTGCTAAGATATGATATCACATCAGCACAATCCCAATGGCACAAAAACAACATAAACTTTGCTATTAATAGTAGCAAAGTTTTACCAAATGAACACTGCCAAAGAACCCTTGGAATTTAAAAAAAAAGTGAAATTTACAAATTGACGAAATTGTGTGTATGCAAGCAGGGGCGTGGCCAAGACGGATGTTCACCCTGGGCCAACTATACACTAAAAACATTACATAAAATTTTAAACGCGTAAATAGTGTAAATATAATGGATTAAAAGCCACAAAAATTCATAATAATATATTTAAACAGTACATACAAAATTTGGAAGTAAAATGTTAACTAAACACGTCGTTCTTTGACCTTAGCAAACTCATCTATGACAGACCCAACGTCGATTTTGTTAGCAAATTCCTCTTCAATAAAGATGGTCAAACGATCGGCAAGAAATTCATCATTCAACTTGTTAGAAATTTAATTCCTCACGTGTTTCATTGCAGAAAATGATATTTATGTTGTTGCAGTCAAAACAAACACATAAAAAAGTAATCAATATTTTATTTTAATTCATATAACTCATATTAATATTTTAAGAAAATCACAAATCACACTTGACATTCCTAAATCCTATTTTTCGTTTCACAATTCAAAGCACACAAAACAATTGTGACACACTAAGTTACTAAAACAAATTAAAATAACAAATAAAATACTTAAATAAAACTAAAAATGTAAAAACAAAAAACCGAAACCCTTAGTGCCTGACCTTGGCAGCTTGGCTGAATAGTTGTGTTGAGTCTAGAGATTGGAGTCCTGGAGAGATGCAGACAAACAGCCAGCAGTCAAGCAGCCTGTCTGCGCGCCTGAGCAGACGACCAGGAGCAACCAACGAGAAAAAAACGGTGGGCGTCCGGCCTCCAGCGATGACAGCGGGCGATCGGCGGAGTGGTGGCGTCCGGCGAATCGACGATGGGAGTGGTTTGGACTCCTGCTTGATGCTTGATGCGTGATGCGTCCAACGTTTGGAACTCCTGTCTCTGCCTTGCTGCTGTGCTCTTTTGTTTAGATTAGCATTGGACATTTTTTGCACTGGGCCAGAATGATTTACACTGGGCCAGTATTTTTCTTGCACTGGCCCAATTGTAAACAAAATAAAAAATACGGAGTATATATATAATGCAAAAAAAATAAAAAATCATGGGCAGGCAAGTGTACACCCTTCATCAAGAAGAATATATCTTTGAGTTTGTTCTTAAAAAGTTAAAAGTTTCAATATCATTGATGTAAAATTGCAAAAATAAAAGCATAGCAACTATTATACGTAGTAATTAGCTCATCAAATTCGCTAATTTTCAATTCAACATCCAGTTTAGTTCATGGAATGTAAGGATGTTTTTACTTGGACTGTAATTCGTCCCAGACCAGACCAATTCAGACCAGACTTGGATAGTTACAAAAATACAAAGATACCAGACATTAAAAGATCAGATCAGACCAGTTCAGACCAGACCGACAAATTACAAATTACAATCCAAGTAAAAACATCATAAGTATACCGTGTACATATAAATTAATTTGAATTAACAAATAAGCTACGTACAAGTAGCACACATATATATGTACATATTCATAGATATACACACCTGCATAATGTATAATCCATGTGTGTGACGGTGTATGTGTGTCTCATATAACCAAAGGAGCAAATACAATGAAAAAAGAAGGTTCAACAAGGAAAATAACACATTCTGAATTTTCCAAAATTTATGACAGCAAAGCTAAGTGGATAGTCTTACCAAACAAGACAAGATCACAAAAACACTTCTGATTTCAAAACAATTGCCCTAAAGAGTCTAAACCAGACACGCACACGCTCCTGGAAAAAATCCATAAAAAAGGAAAGTTCCCGAAATAAGACTAAAAAGTTTCAAAATTACAAAATAGGACTAATTACTGCCAAATTTGGAAAATACTAACTTTTTGAATTCTGGTACTGCCAAAACATGACAATAATTAGTCCTATTTTTGAATAAAAACATGGAAGTCCTATTTTGAAATTTGCAAACTTTTTTAGTAAATTATAAACCTCGGATTGAGCTGGAATAGGTAGAAAACCTCGGGTCGTGATTTAGTGCACAGGTGGTTTATTTACGGGTGGTTGTTTTTGAGTTTACTGTTTGTAACTTTATTATTTAGTTAGCCTTATTTAGGTTATCTTCCACCTAGCCGCCGTATGCTAGCCATCTCAACCGTTGTTCACCATCACAGTCACAAATCGACGACATCTGAAAGGAGAAGAAGAGTGAGATAAAGAGTACGAACCTGGATGACAGAAGCGGTACAATTGGACCTGGTCGACAGCGACAATTGTTTTGATCGGCGGCGACACTGGCGTGAGATTTGGCGGCGGCGCACAGGGGATGGGAGAAGATCGATCGAGGGCAGGAGAAGATAGGATCGGCAAGCAGATGCTGTAGATGATGAGGCAGAGTGTTTAATTAAGGGTATTTTAGACCATTCAATTATTTTTAATCTTCTTTTGTCCAAATGTAGAATTCCTCTTATTTCCGTTTTTAATGATGGTTAAACTACTTTTAATTTATGTTTAGGGAAATTATAGATATATTTTGGTAACTTCTGCTTTTAATGCTGAATTTTATTGAAACACATATTTGATCGTATAATTAATAATTTTGTTTATATTAAAGACCCTTCCATCAGAAATCGGTGATAATAGAACAAAAATGATCAAAACTGACTTCACTCTAATGGTCAAACCTAATCGAACCGCATTATGCCGTTGGATTTGAAAAGTGACTGAGATGATAAAAGCCGACCAAAACATTCTAATATTGATCAAAATTGAATCAAACCAATTGAAATTAACCGAAACAAACTCTTATATTTTGAGCAGTAACTTTAAATTTGAAAAGTGACTGAAATGATAAAAGCCAACCAAAACATTCTAATATTGATCAAAATTGAATCGAACCAACTGAAATTAACCGAAACAAACTCTAATGTATATTTTGAGCAGTAACTTTAAATTTGGTGATATGTTATTGTACCTGATTTAAATTTGTATGAGAAATACTTACTTTCATGGTTTACATTATGGGTAGACAAGGTCTCAATCCCAAGTTCAACGAGTTTTTTAATCAAGATCGGACCAGAAAATAAGGTTCCACACAAACAAGGCCGGTCCTAGGCCGGAAAAAATAGAAAGAAAATTAGGCTCAATTGTTTTCTTCTTTAATGTAATGTCAGTAGGCTTCTTGTTTTATTTACAAATTTAATTAATTAATTAGGCCTAATGTTTGATTTTGTTGACAATTTGAAAATTTTAATGCACATGTAAAAGGTCTGGATAAAAAAATAATAAAAGCATGCCTCTTCTGCTCTTCATAGACAATATTAATAATAATGTAATATTGACGTGCTATGGTGCTGCGTGCTGGCGGAGTGGCCATGCTGCCATGCTGCATGTTGGCTCGTGACGGAGGCGAAGCCACGATGGGAGTCGGCAACTTGACAAAATTTTGTCTTCATAACTTACCTTCTGTTGTGAAATGAAGAAGATGAAGAACAACTTTAAGAGATAGATATATTGATAAAAACCTCTGAATTACTTCTTCTTAATTTCTAAGTTTCTGAATTTCTAAGTGTATTTACAAGTGATTGATCAAGCCCTATTTATACTAGTTGGGCTTGGTGATGAATCATCAAGGAGTAATTCTACACATCTTGCTGGCATCATTAAAACTTGCCATCTATCTATCTGTGATTACAAGGATGGTAAGAAGCTTAGTGTCCTGATTACAAGGATGATGACAAGGATGAACAATTCACACTTGTCATTTCCTGGGTTTTACAACACTCCCCCTTGAATGTTCATCCTTGAGAATAGTTATTTGGATTTAAAAATTTATTGTGAAGATTAGTGTGAAAATTAAGGGGTAAAGATTATGACATATAATGTCGTTGTATTTGGATGTACTGTCTCGTTAAAAACCTTATCAGGAAAAACCCAATGGGATAAAAACCTGATGAAGGGAAAAAGAGTGCAGTGCATTCAAATACTCCCCCTGAATTTAGCATAAATTATTAAGGCGGCGCATGCCGATTTTCTGTACAAGTTCAACGAACTTCTTTGGGGGTAAAGATTTGGTGAAGAGATCGGCTGGATTTTCACTGGATCTGATTTGTTGAACGTTGATCGTCCCTTCTTTCTCAAGGTCGTGAGTAGAGAAAAATTTTGGAGATATATGCTTCGTTCTATCTCCTTTGATGTAGCCTTCTTTAATTTGAGCTATGCACGCAGTGTTGTCTTCGTAGATCACAGTAGGGTAAACAGTAATAGGCTTCATACCGCATTCATTCTGGATGTGTTGAATCATAGATCGCAGCCATACACATTCTCTTCCGGTTTCATATAGTGCAATTAACTCCGAATGATTTGATGATGTAGCTGTCAACGTCTGTTTCATAGATCTCCACGAGATTGCGGTATTACCATAAGTAAATACGTACCCGGTTTGTGATTTTGCCTTTTGAGGATCTGATAAATATCCAGCGTCTGCATATCCGATTAAAGAAGCTTTGGCATCTTTGTGGTAGAATAGGCCGAGATCAATTGTACCACGGAGATAACGGAATATGTGCTTGATCCCGTTCCAATGACGTCTTGTTGGACATGAGCTGTACCTAGCTAATAAATTTACAGAAAATGCAATATCTGGTCTAGTATTATTAGCTAAATACATTAAAGCTCCAATAGCACTCAGATATGGTACTTCGGGACCGAGTATATCTTCGTCGTCTTCTCGGGGACGGAATGGATCATCGTGTATGTTGAGAGATCGAATAACCATTGGTGAAGTCAAAGGATGAGCTTTGTCCATATAGAATCTCTTCAACACTTTCTCGGTGTAATTGGATTGGTGGATGAAAATTCCATTCTTCAAATGCTCAATTTGAAGTCCGAGACAAAATTTGGTTCTCCCGAGATCTTTCATTTCAAATTCTTTCATAAGATATCTTGCAGTATTTTCAATTTCATCGGGAGTTCCAATAATATTTAAGTCATCAACATATACTGCAATTATGGCGAATCCCGAATTTGATCGCCGAATGAAAACACATGGACTAATCGGATCATTCTTATATCCTTCTTTGAGAATGTATTCACTGAGACGATTATACCACATTCGTCCAGATTGTTTTAGTCCATACAATGACTTTTGTAATTTAATGGAAAACATGTCTCGAGGTTTCGAACTATAAGCTTCAGGCATTTTAAATCCTCCGGGAACTTTCATATAAATGTCTGTATCGAGTGAACCGTATAAATATGCAGTCACTACATCCATTAGGCGCATTTGCAGCCTTTCAAAAACAGACATGCTAATGAGAAACCTTAATGTAGTTGCATCAACTACGGGAGAATAGGTTTCTTCATAATCGATTCCCGGCATTTGAGAAAAACCTTGGGCAACAAGTCGGGCTTTATATCTGACAATTTCATTTTTCTCATTGCGTTTACGCACAAATACCCATTTAAAACCCACAGGTTTTATGCCTTTTGGCGTAGGGACTATCGGTCCAAAAACATCACGTTTTTCAAGTGATTTTAATTCAGCCTGAATAGCTTCATTCCATTTTGGCCAATCGTGTCGTTTCCGACATTCTTCTATTGATGTTGGCTCATTGTCATTGTTTTCATTCATAACATTTGTGGCAACGGCATAGACAAATATCTCATTAATATCAATATCTTTTTTATTCCATTGCATTCCAGTAGAAACGTAATTTATTGAAATTTCATAATTATCAACGTTTCTATCAGTATCTGGAATATCTTCCTCATTTAAGGAAGTTGAATCATTATTTGAGATGTTTATTTTGTCAATATCATTTTCTATGCCAGTATTTTCAAATTGTTCATTTTCTTGTTCAGAAGGATGAACATCTTTGGCATCATAGATCAATTCCTGCCTTTTAGTCTTTCTTGGTTTTATGTCTTTTGATCCAAGTGGCCTGCCACGCTTTTTGCGTATAGAAGAATCATTTGCGAGAGATTTTTCAGAATTCTCCGCTGGAATTTCAATTCTGGCAGGGGCATTCATAGCAGGAATATGTGACTTTGTCACTTTCTTTGTGTCTGTGAATGCATCAGGCAACTGATTTGCAACATTTTGTAAATGGATTATCTTTTGCACCTCTTGTTCACATGTATTTGATCTAGAATCAAGGTGTGATAATCCTGTTGCATTCCATGTTATTTCTTTCGTACTTGGGTCCGATTTATTAGTTTCTCCCCCTAAGGTTGGGAATACTGTCTCATTGAAATGACAGTCAGCGAACCGTGCGGTGAATAAGTCACCGGTCATCGGTTCAAGATATTTTATTATTGAGGGAGATTCAAATCCAATGTAAATTCCCAACCTTCTTTGAGGACCCATTTTTGTACGATGAGGTGGAGCAATCGGAACATAAACAGCACAACAAATATTTTTATGTGTGCTAAGTTTGGCTCTTGTCCAGTAACTAATTGCATTGGGGAATATTCATGATATGCAGTCGGTCTAAGCCGAATTAAATTTGCTGCATGCAAAATAGCATGTCCCCAAGCTGATGAAGGTAAATTACACTTCATTAATAATGGTCTAGCGATTAATTGTAATCGTTTAATCAAAGATTCAACAAGACCATTTTGTGTATGGACATGAGCAACAGGGTGCTCCACATCAATCCCAATCGACATACAATAGTCGTTAAATGATTGGGAAGTAAATTCTCCTGCATTATCAAGTCGGATTCTCTTTATAGAATGATCCGGAAAATGAGCTCTTAATCGTATAATTTGAGCGAGGAGTTTTGCAAATGCTAAATTTCTAGTCGATAAAAGACTAACATGTGACCAACGTGTTGAAGCATCAATCAACACCATAAAATATCGAAATGGTCCACATGGAGTGTCACGCCCCAGACCGCAATCCAAGCGCGTGTACAACCGCCGTATAATTAAGTGACGTCACCCGCGAGTCAACCCCACTTAATTACACAAGGCGTTCGAGAAAACAATCCATCCATACTCAGTAGTAAACATACATAACAACATCACATTTAAACCAATGAATAGCGGAAATATTCAACGGTAAGTCATAAGCCACAACCGGCCAACAACATGGGCATGCAAGCCCCAAAAATAGTTTATAGTAGAACAAATATCCATGAGCAAGTGTTCGGTAGTTTGAAAGAAAATAAGGAAGCACGAACCACGTCTTCCTGATTTGATATCACCCGTGAGAAGGTGCAAGTAGCAAGCCCTAGCTTCAACCTGAAAATGGTGGGGCCCCCCGAAGGGGTCAGTACAAGTACCGAGCGAGTAGCAGGCTAAATATAGAATAACTAGCGTTTCAAGTATAAGACCCAAACATAGGGTGATACTTAAATAGATAGTCTTTCCCCCAAGTTATGAAATACTTATTAGTATATATATACTTGGAAAATATCCGATCCGTAGATCACCATTTTATTTGGGAAAAATAGTATTAGTCAATATTCTTGACTAAAAACCCCAACCCACCCATATACCTATGAGTGTATAGGACTCCTCCTTGTCCCTATTTGTATATCATAATTTATGAGTTTTAGGATCAACATCCTCGGATACTCCACCGGTTTGTGAGTGTTAAGGCCTCATAAGTCCTAGGGTCCTCCACCGAGTTTTGAGTGTTAAGTACTTTAAGTACTAGGGTCCTCCACCAAGTTTGAGTGTTAAGGACTTTAAGTCCTAGGGTCCTCCACCAAGTTTTTGAGTGTTAAGTACTTTTTAAGTACTAGGGTCCTCCACCGAGTTTTTGAGTGTTAAGTACTTTTTAAGTACTAGGGTCCTCCACCGAGTTTGAGTGTTAAGGACTTTAAGTCCCAGGGTCCTCCACCAAGTTTGAGTGTTAAGGACTTTAAGTCCTAGGGTCCTCCACCAAGTTTGAGTGTTAAGTACTTTTTAAGTACTAGGGTCCTCCACCAAGTTTTCCTAGGATCAACCTCCTATCAACCTAGATAGAGTCTATATCATCCTTAGTTACTCATAACTAATCCAATACATAAATCTTATGTATCACAATCCATGCAAAGCCATGCATTTATATAATTGTATAATTAACTAACATCAACCGATATTAATTAATCCATCATCCATCGGTCAACGTTGTCGTTGACCGCCAATTCAAGCCTTGTACATATCAACTTAATCATCATATAATTAAGTCAATAATACTCATTTGAGCTTCTTTTACACTTCAAGCTAATGTGCATTTTATATAATTTCTCATATCATATTTCATGCATAATCAATTAATTCTTTTCATACAACTTGATAATGTTGGCTAATCACATGTTTAAATATCTTTTAAACATCATTTTGAACACATATAACATTTATTTAGGTAATCTCATAATTAACCCAAAAGTTATAAGATATTAAGCCGTCCACTCACCTTGAACTAGCGTTAAGAAGTTCTACCCTTCTTGGTTGAACTCCGGTGAAACTCCGGCGACTTGGTCAACTCCGGCGACAACTCCGGCGACTTTTTCCAACTTTGTGAAATCACTTGAAATACCCTTTACAAGTGCCTAACAAGGTTTTATAATCATAAAACCCATATTAATACAAATAACCTCAAAAAGGTTATTTTCCGGTGAACCGGTCGTTTTGGCTTCTAAGTCCGTTCTTGGACTTAGAACCATCTTCCACCCCATAAATCCATACTTATAACATATTGAACCATACTAAAGGTTCTTCATATGATATATACTTCATATGGTGGAAGAAAAATAAAGGAAAAGTTAATATAAGGTCATTACCTTAATTGTTCACACTTTTCCCAACTTTTTCCCTCTTTAATCTTCTTCCTTTGAGCACTAAAGCTTGAGCTCAAATTTGCAGCAATGGAGGTGATTTTGAAGCTCCTTCTCTCTCCCTTGGATGGTTTGGTCGAGCTCAATGGTTGGAGGGAGAGGGGATGTCTCACTTTTGTCTTAATTGACAAATGAGTGAGGGAGGGGGGTCCTCCATGTACCTTAGATGCCAAAAGCACCTCCTCCACTCCTTCCTTTGTCAACTCAGCCACCTCCTTGTTTATTTTGAGCACACAAAAACGTGGGGTGGCCCCCACCCTTGTGGGAGGTCATCCCATTAAGTCCCGATGTGTACAATCGATCCCGAAAGTTGTATTTTTCGGACTGTTTTAAATATATTTTATTTTATCGGGTCAAATAAAATATATTATGTGCTCTTACTCATTATGACATGTATAATGAATATACATTCCCCAACTTTAATTTATAAGCCTCCGAAATTCATTTTCGGGCTGTTATCTGTTAAATTGTCGGTACCGGTAATTGGGCCTCTTTTTCCCAATCGGTCAACCCTGCGCCTTTCCACGACCCAAATAAAATATCCACCACTATATAAATATTATCTTGACCAAGATGAATAAAATATGTGGTCTCGGGAGTGTCGGGCGGCCCCCGCTCCCGGTGTGGGTCCCACGTGCAATTTACTATTCACGCGAAAAAAATAATAAAAAATTTACAACTTCGTAAATTCATTAATCCTTTAATAAGGTTCAATACATTATTTACACAAAAGTAAATATATTTGGGGACGGTGTTACAAGTTCACCCCCCCTTATTTGGGATTTCGTCCCCGAAATCCAAGTATCTAATCGAAAAGAAATGGGTATTGCTCCCTCATTGAGATCTCGGTCTCCCAAGTTTCTTCTTCGACTCGATCACTCCTCCAAAGAACCTTTACCATAGGAATCTCTTTATTCCTAAGCTTCTTCACTTGTTGACCAACAATCTTCACTGGTTCCACCGCATATTGCAAGTCCTCACGGATCTCTACCGGTGGTTTCTCAAGAATATGAGACGGGTCTCGTATGTACTTCTTGAGCATTGATACATGAAACACGTCATGTATCTTCTCAAGTTCAGGCGTCAACTTGAGTCGGTAAGCCACGGCTCCGATCCTTTCAAGGATCTCAAACGGACCTATGTATCGGGGGTTAAGTTTCCCCCTCGATACGAATCGGATGATGCCCTTCCAAGGAGAAATCCTTAGGAAGACCTCATCACCGACTTCGAACTCCAACGGTCTCCGCCGTTTATCAGCATAACTCTTCTGTCGGTCCTGAGCGGCCTTCAGTCTATCCCGAATGATCCTCACCTTGGCCTTGGTGATCTCAACCAGCTCTATCCCTTCGAGTTTGGCCTCGCCAACCTCGTCCCAACACAACGGTGTTCTGCACTTCCTCCCATACAATGCCTCATATGGAGGCATGCCGATACTTGCCTGATAACTGTTGTTATAGGCAAACTCCACTAGGGCTAAATGTTTGTCCCAACTTCCTTGGAACTCCAAAGCACATGCCCTAAGCATGTCTTCCAAAATCTGTATCACCCGCTCGGACTGTCCATCCGTTTGTGGGTGAAAAGCTGTGCTAAACTTCAGTTTGGTCCCCAAAGATGCTTGAAACTTTGGCCAAAACCGGGATGTGAATCGTGGATCCCTATCCGAGACAATGGATACTGGGACTCCATGTAATCTCACAATCTCCTCCGTGTATAGCTTGGCCAATCTTTCAAGAGGATAAGTAATGTTGATAGGCAGAAAGTGTGCACTCTTGGTGAGCCTATCGACCACTACCCATACTGCATCGTAGTTGTTCACTGTTCGTGGTAGCCCCACCACGAAGTCCATCGTCACGTGTTCCCACTTCCACTCTGGGATAGTAAGTGGTTGCAAAAGCCCTGCCGGGTGCTGATGCTCTGCCTTAACTTGTTGGCAAGTAAGGCATCGACTCACATACTCTGCGATGTCTCTCTTCATACCTGACCACCAGTAACCTTCCTTCAAATCTCGGTACATTTTTGTACCTCCTGGATGCATAGCATAAGCTGAAGAATGAGCCTCCTCAAGTATAGACTTCTGGAGGTCTTCATTCTTGGGTATGCACACACGATCCTTAAACAATAATAGACCGTCATCGCGTACTCGAAAGTTCTCAACAGGCCCCTCAATGATTCGTTCACGAATCTTCTGACACTCCTCGTCAATGGCCTGGCATCTACTGATCTCACCCAGCAATGTAGGTCTGACCTCAAACCTAGCAATGAGCGCCCCGCTCGTGGATACCCCCACGTGTGCCCTCAATGCCTGTAGACATGTGAGTAGCGTCCCCGACGTACTCTTTCTGCTCAGTGCGTCGGCCACTACATTGGCCTTTCCGGGATGATAGTCGATGATCAAGTCATAGTCCTTGATCAACTCCATCCATCTCCTCTGCCTCATATTCAACTCTTTCTGAGTGAATACATACTTCAAGCTCTTATGATCAGTATAAATGTGACACGTCTCCCCGTAGAGATAATGCCTCCAAATCTTCAATGCAAACACTACCGCCCCCAACTCTAGATCGTGAGTAGGGTAGTTCACCTCGTGTTTCCTCAATTGCCTAGAAGCATAGGCAATCACCTTACCGTTTTGCATTAGTACACATCCAAGCCCCTGGATGCTAGCATCGCTGTAGATGTCATACCCTATCCCTTGTATGGGTAGGGCAAGGACAGGTGCCTCGGTAAGTCGTTTCTTCAATTCAAGGAACCCCTTCTCGCACCTGTCGTCCCATATGAACTTGGCCCCCTTCTTTGTGAGCTTCGTTAATGGAGACGCCAATACGGAGAATTTTTCAACAAATTTACGATAGTATCCCGCTAAGCCAAGGAAACTACGTATTTCCTTCGCATTCCTGGGTCTCTCCCAATCCATGATCGCTTTTATCTTGGTGTTATCCACAGCAACACCTGAACCGGATATGACATGACCGAGGAAACCAATCTCTTTGAGCCAAAATTCGCATTTAGAGAATTTGGCGAAGAGTTGCTTTTCCCTTAGCCGATCAAGTACAAGCCTCAAATGATGTTCGTGCTCTTCCTCGCTCTTGGAGTATATCAAGATGTCATCAATGAATACTATCACAAATTGATCTAAGTATTCACTAAACACACGATTCATCAAGTCCATGAATGCCGCCGGTGCGTTAGTTAAACCAAACGACATCACAAGGAACTCGTAATGACCATATCTAGTGCGAAATGCACTCTTAGGTATGTCGCTCTCCTTGATCTTCAACTGATGATACCCCGACCTCAAGTCAATCTTCGAGAACACTTTTGCCCCTCGAAGTTGATCGAACAAGTCATCAATCCTCGGTAAGGGATACCTGTTCTTGATGGTGACCTTGTTCAATTGTCGGTAGTCGATACACATTCTTAGTGTACCATCTTTCTTCTTAACGAAGAGTACGGGTGCTCCCCACGGTGAATGACTGGGTCTGATGAACCCGTTGTCCAATAGTTCTTGTAGTTGGACCTTCAACTCTTGAAGTTCGGCCGGTGCCATTCGATAAGGAGGAATCGAAATGGGTTTGGTTCCCGGCTCCACTTCGATTACAAATTCAATCTCTCTATCGGGTGGAAGCCCCGGTAGGTCCTTGGGAAAGACGTCCGGGTACTTGCACACGACTCGAACATCCTTGATGTCGACTTCTTTCTTCGTATCATCTACCACGTAAGCAAGGTATGCGTGGCATCCCTTCCTCATCATCTTTCGTGCTCTCATCACGGATATGATACAAGCATTAGACTTCCCCCGATCTCCTTCAAAACGTAGCATATTCCCTTGACCATCCTCAAGCTCCAACACCTTGGTGTAGCAATCTACTCGAGCATGGTGCTTCTCAAGCCAATCCATTCCTAGGATTGCATCGAACTCCAACATGCTTAGAGGTACGAAATCACAAGTCAAGGGTTGACCCGTCACTTCCACCTCACACGATGGATAGTAATAATTTCTCTCCACATCGTCTCCTAACGGTGTGGAGACTAGCAACGTTTGCGTCATAGGTGTCAATGGCACGTCAAGGCCCTCGGCGAACGCCTCACTCACAAATGAGCGTTGTGCCCCGGTATCGATGAGGATCCTCGCACACCTACCATTGATCTTTAATGTTCCTACATTTATACACCATGTAAGATACATTTTCTAATGTTTTTACACATCATTAAGATGTTATTATGTTCATACTAATGTTTGGGATCAAACGGGGGTCCAAACGTAGAAGAACGGGGCGAAAAAATAAAGTTTCAGGTGCCAGGGGTCCACGCACGGCGTGCGTAGGGGGTACGCACGGTCGTGCGTACCTTGTCTTACCAATGGAGGCTACTGCCCCCAACGCACGGAGGGACGCACGGGCAACGCACGGCCGGGCGTGCAGCGATTCCCTCCGGGGTGCTACTGCCACCAACGCACGGAGGTACGCACGGGCAACGCACGGCCGGGCGTGCAGCGAATTTCCTCCGGGGTGCTACTGCCACCAACGCACGGAGGTACGCACGGGCAACGCACGGCCGGGCGTGCAGCGAATTTCCTCCGGGGTGTTACTGCCACCAACGCACGGAGGTACGCACGGGCAACGCACGGCCGGGCGTGCAGCGAATTTCCTCCGGGGTGCTACTGCCACCAACGCACGGAGGTACGCACGGGCAACGCACGGCCGTGCGTGCAGCCCAGCCTGTAGTGCGTTGGCAGAAATCAGCCCGATTTCGCCCAATTTCGCCCAATTTCGCTCCGTTTGGTCCCGGGGTGGCCCGAACTCAACCCCCAACGGTGTATATGATCAAACTAAGCCTAGAAATACATGGGAATACGTGTATTACCTGCAACGGAGTCCGGGTTTGCTCGCGCATCTGCCTCGGTCATTGCGTACACTCGTGCTTGGGTCCCGCCTTGATTTACGGACGCGGCATGACTTGTGGACGCGCCGCCTCTTCCCGTACCGCCGTGTGACTGGCCCGCACGGTTTCTTCCCGTCGTGGTTCCTCCTCCGGATCCCGGAGCTCCTCCTCCCTCTAGTTGTGGGCAATTGGCCTTCATGTGGCCCGTGTTCCCACATTGATAACACCTCGGGGGTGCATTGCACTTCCCAAAATGATTTTTCGAACAATTGGCACACTTTGGAGGCCCCTTCTTTTGGGAGGAGGATGCATGCCACCGAGCATCCCTGTTCTTCTTTGCCGGTGGTGCCGGTGTCTTGAACGAACCACCACTCCCACCGTGTTTATCTTTCCGTGCTTGCTCGGGCAGCCCCGAACCATGCCATTTCCTCTTTTTCGCCTCTTCGGCGTCTCTTTCCTTTCTTTCATTCCATTGAGCCTCCCCGAGAAGGCCCTGCTCCACCACCTCGCTAAAGGTCATGTGGCGCGAGTACGTAGCCCGATCACGGATGTCCAAGAGTAAGGCATCCCAAAAGTGCTCCGTCATGCGGTTCTCATCAACCGCGTACTCTGGCAAGAACCTAGCCAAGGTTCTAAAGTCTTGTTCCAACTGTTTAACCGTGCCACCATCTTTCTGTTTCAGGTTAGTATACTCCCTCCGTTTCACATTCACCTCATACTCGGAGTAGTATTGAGCATAGAATTCTTGCTCAAAATTTACCCATGAAACCTCCCCATGGTATTTTCCTTCAACACTCTCCCACCACGTGGAAGCTATCCCCTCAAGCAGACGTGAAGCGACAGTCAACTTTACGTCCGGTGAAATTTGCATGTCTTTTGCCGCATCCTTCACCTTCTTTATCCAATCGGCGGCAACGGTAATGTCACCGGTGCCGTCGAAGGACTTACACCCCAAGGCTCTAGCCTCCTTGAGGTATTTCGAGATCCTCACAACCAAACCTCCTTCACGCCCACCATGTGACGCTGCTGGAGTGGCCCTTGAAGCTCCCCGGCTCCCTTGACCCGAACCACCACGCGAGCCACACCTTGCTTGGCGCCTAAGGTCTCTCCTCAGTTTCTCTTTTTGATACCACTCAAGCAATTCGCCCATTTGAGCGAACTTGGCATCACTCTCTTCATCATCATCGTCCGTGTACGTGTCACCCCCATCATATGGGGTCTCCTCGTGCTCCGTTTCCGGAACATATGTAGAGTCGTAGTCTTCGGTGTTGGTTTCATACACCGAGCTTACATGGCCATCACTCACAGTTTGAGCTTGATGACCTCCACGGCTTCCACGGCCTCCACGGCCTCCTCTTGAACCCCGAGATGCAGCCCGGCTTCCCCTTTGGGACGCTACCGGCGCCCGCCCTCTCGGATTGTTCCTGGTTGCCATTCGCCTGCCCTCCATTTCTGAAAGAAATATGGATGAGTCATTAGACTCCTATAAATGTCAATTGACGGAAGAACGTTACAGACACGTATTGGCCCAAGTCACTACCATACCAATTGTTAAGGGTACCATCTTAACAATTAGAGGCCTTGCAACTTAGGCACCAATAGTCCTATAAACGTCAAAATACAATGCTCATGGTTTTCGGTAAAAACTCTTTTGTAAAATCTTTTGTGAGAGGTTGATTATATAGTTTAGAACTGAGATGGCTTTGATACCACTTAATTGTCACGCCCCAGACCGCAATCCAAGCGCGTGTACAACCGCCGTATAATTAAGTGACGTCACCCGCGAGTCAACCCCACTTAATTACACAAGGCGTTCGAGAAAACAATCCATCCATACTCAGTAGTAAACATACATAACAACATCACATTTAAACCAATGAATAGCGGAAATATTCAACGGTAAGTCATAAGCCACAACCGGCCAACAACATGGGCATGCAAGCCCCAAAAATAGTTTATAGTAGAACAAATATCCATGAGCAAGTGTTCGGTAGTTTGAAAGAAAATAAGGAAGCACGAACCACGTCTTCCTGATTTGATATCACCCGTGAGAAGGTGCAAGTAGCAAGCCCTAGCTTCAACCTGAAAATGGTGGGGCCCCCCGAAGGGGTCAGTACAAGTACCGAGCGAGTAGCAGGCTAAATATAGAATAACTAGCGTTTCAAGTATAAGACCCAAACATAGGGTGATACTTAAATAGATAGTCTTTCCCCCAAGTTATGAAATACTTATTAGTATATATATACTTGGAAAATATCCGATCCGTAGATCACCATTTTATTTGGGAAAAATAGTATTAGTCAATATTCTTGACTAAAAACCCCAACCCACCCATATACCTATGAGTGTATAGGACTCCTCCTTGTCCCTATTTGTATATCATAATTTATGAGTTTTAGGATCAACATCCTCGGATACTCCACCGGTTTGTGAGTGTTAAGGCCTCATAAGTCCTAGGGTCCTCCACCGAGTTTTGAGTGTTAAGTACTTTAAGTACTAGGGTCCTCCACCAAGTTTGAGTGTTAAGGACTTTAAGTCCTAGGGTCCTCCACCAAGTTTTTGAGTGTTAAGTACTTTTTAAGTACTAGGGTCCTCCACCGAGTTTTTGAGTGTTAAGTACTTTTTAAGTACTAGGGTCCTCCACCGAGTTTGAGTGTTAAGGACTTTAAGTCCCAGGGTCCTCCACCAAGTTTGAGTGTTAAGGACTTTAAGTCCTAGGGTCCTCCACCAAGTTTGAGTGTTAAGTACTTTTTAAGTACTAGGGTCCTCCACCAAGTTTTCCTAGGATCAACCTCCTATCAACCTAGATAGAGTCTATATCATCCTTAGTTACTCATAACTAATCCAATACATAAATCTTATGTATCACAATCCATGCAAAGCCATGCATTTATATAATTGTATAATTAACTAACATCAACCGATATTAATTAATCCATCATCCATCGGTCAACGTTGTCGTTGACCGCCAATTCAAGCCTTGTACATATCAACTTAATCATCATATAATTAAGTCAATAATACTCATTTGAGCTTCTTTTACACTTCAAGCTAATGTGCATTTTATATAATTTCTCATATCATATTTCATGCATAATCAATTAATTCTTTTCATACAACTTGATAATGTTGGCTAATCACATGTTTAAATATCTTTTAAACATCATTTTGAACACATATAACATTTATTTAGGTAATCTCATAATTAACCCAAAAGTTATAAGATATTAAGCCGTCCACTCACCTTGAACTAGCGTTAAGAAGTTCTACCCTTCTTGGTTGAACTCCGGTGAAACTCCGGCGACTTGGTCAACTCCGGCGACAACTCCGGCGACTTTTTCCAACTTTGTGAAATCACTTGAAATACCCTTTACAAGTGCCTAACAAGGTTTTATAATCATAAAACCCATATTAATACAAATAACCTCAAAAAGGTTATTTTCCGGTGAACCGGTCGTTTTGGCTTCTAAGTCCGTTCTTGGACTTAGAACCATCTTCCACCCCATAAATCCATACTTATAACATATTGAACCATACTAAAGGTTCTTCATATGATATATACTTCATATGGTGGAAGAAAAATAAAGGAAAAGTTAATATAAGGTCATTACCTTAATTGTTCACACTTTTCCCAACTTTTTCCCTCTTTAATCTTCTTCCTTTGAGCACTAAAGCTTGAGCTCAAATTTGCAGCAATGGAGGTGATTTTGAAGCTCCTTCTCTCTCCCTTGGATGGTTTGGTCGAGCTCAATGGTTGGAGGGAGAGGGGATGTCTCACTTTTGTCTTAATTGACAAATGAGTGAGGGAGGGGGGTCCTCCATGTACCTTAGATGCCAAAAGCACCTCCTCCACTCCTTCCTTTGTCAACTCAGCCACCTCCTTGTTTATTTTGAGCACACAAAAACGTGGGGTGGCCCCCACCCTTGTGGGAGGTCATCCCATTAAGTCCCGATGTGTACAATCGATCCCGAAAGTTGTATTTTTCGGACTGTTTTAAATATATTTTATTTTATCGGGTCAAATAAAATATATTATGTGCTCTTACTCATTATGACATGTATAATGAATATACATTCCCCAACTTTAATTTATAAGCCTCCGAAATTCATTTTCGGGCTGTTATCTGTTAAATTGTCGGTACCGGTAATTGGGCCTCTTTTTCCCAATCGGTCAACCCTGCGCCTTTCCACGACCCAAATAAAATATCCACCACTATATAAATATTATCTTGACCAAGATGAATAAAATATGTGGTCTCGGGAGTGTCGGGCGGCCCCCGCTCCCGGTGTGGGTCCCACGTGCAATTTACTATTCACGCGAAAAAAATAATAAAAAATTTACAACTTCGTAAATTCATTAATCCTTTAATAAGGTTCAATACATTATTTACACAAAAGTAAATATATTTGGGGACGGTGTTACATGGAGGGGCAATCGGCCCACAAATATCTCCTTGAATCCTTTCTAAAAATGCAGGTGATTCAGTTGCAATTTTGGTCTTAGAAGGCCTGATAATCATTTTGCCAAGAGAACAGGCCTTACAATGAAAATCACTTGATAATGGAACCCTCATATTCTTTAATGGGTGTCCAAGTGAAGTCTTCATGATTTTATGCATCATTACTTGGCCTGGGTGACCTAAACGGTCATGCCACAACATGAATGTTTTCTGATTATCTAACTTTGTGTTAGAAACCAAATTTATTTCGAATGGACTAATATGAGTGAAATATAGTCCTGAGGAATATGCTGGCATTTTTTCACAAATACATTTAGTGCCAGATTTAGTTGTCGTTAGACAAAGATATTCCTTTTGGTTTTCATTCATGGTTTCTATGTGATAACCATTTTGACGCATATCCTTAAAGCTTAATAAATTTCTCCGCGATTTGCTGGAGTATAAAGCGTCATTTATAAGTAATTTTGTCCCATTAGGGAGCATCACATATGCTTTCCCAGAGCCTTCAATGAGCTTCGCAACACCTGATATTGTATTGACTTTAGCCTCAACTAAAGTCATTTGAGAAAAATATATTTTATTTCTCAAAATGGTGTGCGTGGTGGCGCTGTCTATCAGACATAGCTCTTTATCACTTGAGTGATCCATATCTTCAATATATGTAAATAAACATAAGCTTGACATGTGAATATCACAAATTTAATCTGTATCAATTTCGATTCAGGAGTAGCGACAGATGTGATTAAAAGTATTATTATTTTACTCGATAAAACATATTGCTTAAAGTATCAATGTTAATGTACTCCAGTTATGGTTTTATTCACATCAATATTAATACCACATAATTCATGAATGATGCATGATACATTTATTATCATCAATCATTCTGATGCATGGCATAAGTATAATATATGACACACAGGCATAGCTTTAATATCACTACAGAACTCCTTCAGTTTGACTATTGTAGTTTTTATTATTTCAATATTTTAATTGGTGCTATCATTTGTATACAGACATAATTATTTGACCAATTACCTAGTCAAATCTTAACTTTCTAAATTTGAATGTGAATCTACCAGTATACTCCGTATTATTTACACAGAAAATGAATCATGTTAAAGATGAATAGTAGAGCAAACAAAAGATGGAAAAACTGAACTGGTAGAGTTCTCATAGTTAGGAGCATAGAACGAGTATAACCGAACTGTTCATTATAATAAAATTTGTCAGATTTCCAATTTTAATACATACTTCGTTACGTATATTGTTTAATATTATTGTAGTTAAAAATCTTACTCTATACGAAGTATATAACATTAGGTCATAAATAGGGGATAATAACGTACATGTTAACTGTCTTCTACTCCGTATTTAATTTACAAGTATTAACCAAAATGAAGCATAAAGACTAGTAGAAGAAAATTTCTGAAAGTTGTTTGGTGTACTTCAGATCAATCGATCTAGTAAAATTGTTTTTACTTTATTTTCTTTTATTTTGGCAGATAAAAACAAAAACTACCGTATAGCAACTGAAATATTAAATAGCTATCCTTATCTCAAACTTGATACGTGGCTTATGCACATCTTTTAATAATGCATTGGTTTAACTAGCTAGAAGTCTAGAATATAATAATACTAGTATATATTAACGGTGCTGCATACGTAAGTATGACGGAGTAATAAATTAAACAAATAATAAACTATGAGTACTGATCAAGTGCGTGTATGTACCCATTTTAGTGAAATACTTTAAGACTTATTAAAACAATAAATTTTACTTAAATTAATGGTATCAAAATCACATAATTTGGACGTTAAAGGGTACGTATGAGACAACTTCGATCAGTGTTTAGCAGAGAACATTTATTACTATGTTGTCACTTAGTTATTTGTTTGTATGTTAATTTGAATAATGTATTATCAGAAGTCAACTCTTCAACATATGTGATTGTATTATAATGCATGTAAATGAGAACCACACATTACCATCCCGTGAGCACTACTTAATTAGTATCTACTACTCTTAGATATATATTGACTTGCTCTCTTATTTTCACCGTGCGTATGTATCTATTCATTACTCCATATCTTTCTCTCTTCATATATTATGTTACTCCTAATATACGAAGTACTACGTTTTCCTTCTTTCTTATACTTACCTTTATTATATAGTATTATTATTTATTATATTGCATGTGGAGTACATAGTTACAGCTAATTTCTTCTTCTGTGTATAAAGAGACCACCGAGATGGGGAAAGTGATCTGATACTAGTACATTTGAAAGGTATGTACGTTATATGATTTTTTTTCTTTTTTTTCTTTTTCTTTTTTGTTTTTTTTTTATTGATAACGTGTTGTGAAATGAAGAAGATGAAGAACAACTTTAAGAGATAGATATATTGATAAAAACCTCTGAATTACTTCTTCTTAATTTCTGAGTATCTGAATTTCTAAGTGTATTTACAAGTGATTGATCAAGCCCTATTTATACTAGTTGGGCTTGGTGATGAATCATCAAGGAGTAATTCTACACATCTTGCTGGCATCATTAAAACTTGCCATCTATCTATCTGTGATTACAAGGATGGTAAGAAGCTTAGTGTCCTGATTACAAGGATGATGACAAGGATGAACAATTCACACTTGTCATTTCCTGGGTTTTACAACACCTTCTTCAATTAAAATTTTGTTATTGCGGATTCTTTAGGTTATCCCTTTTTCAGATATGTTTAAATTGAGTAAGGTTTGGTCCCCCAATTTTTATTCTCTTTTCTCTTCATATTTTTTGCCATGTACTAGGGTATCTAGTATGACAAAATTTGGCCCAAATAGATTTATAGAGAAATATTCAGGTCAGGTATACCTGACCACTGCCCCCGTCCGGCCTCCTCCTTTTGGGGGCCTTCCCGGTGGTATTTTTTGCTCAAATATTTTGTGTATGTTCCTCATCAAGTCTAGTTTATCCATACCAAATTTCAGCCAAAAATTCAATCGGGAAGGTCGTCAAATGATTTTTGCAAGTTAACTGGTCCGGAATATGTATTTTCCGGACCAGTTAACTTGCAAAAATCATTTGACGACCTTCCCGGTTGAATTTTTGGCTGAAATTTGGTATGGATGAACTAGACTTGATGAGGAACCTACACAAAAAATTTGAGCAAAAAATACCATCGGGAAGACCCCCAAATGGAGGAGGCCGGACGGCGGCTCCGGCCAGGTATACCTGACCGGAAGATTACTCATATTAAGTTTCCACTTCCAAATCATTACTTTTATACAATGAGTATACATACCCTCTTATAGTTTTCAAATTCTGGTATAACTAGTACTTAATATTTTTTTAATTAAACTTAACAGGTATTGGGTTCTTATTATTTTGATTTCTTATATTTCCCTTTACTTACTAATATAAATATATACTCCAGGGTAATTATTTTTAAAGAATCTTTTGTCATATTTTTTTTTTCCACTTGGCCCGCGGGCCATCATTTTAACCCACAGGTTAGGTGGATTGGATTAGGGTTGCAGAAATTCTGGTCCGTCAGTGACTAGGGTGGAAACAGGCCAACCCAGGCCAACCTTTTGCCTAAACAGGTCGGGCCTGTTTTAGAATGTATAGGCTTGAGCCTGGCCTGTTACCTGTTAAAAGCCTGGTTTTTCGGCCTGAGCCTGGTCTGTTTAAAAGCCTGGCCTGGCCTGAAGCCTGTTTACTGGGCTTGTTAAAAAAAATTCAAAAAGAAAAATAAAAAGTGAAAACTCCTTTTAATCCGGTATAAAATTTATTCCCCCAAATATTTACTAAAAAGTCTAATAATACGTTAGTTTTGCTTTGGATGTCTAATATTCCGGCCGTCTCGCAAAGAACTTCCCACTTTCCTTTTATGGATGTCCCAAAAAGAAGTTCTCATTTCTATAAAAGGAAATCACTTTTAACCAAAAAGTCACAACTACCCTTACTTTTACCCACTTTTTGCTTGATTTGACATAAAGTATGGATATACTTGGAAAGTCAAAACAAAATTCTACCTTACATAAATATGTGTGTAGGTCAAACTAGGAACTTCTTTGTGGGACGGAGGGAGTAATACATTATGTAGTGAAAATAAATGTCTAGCTATGTACTTCAAATCTTGAAAAACTTGAATTTCAATTATCTTAATAAACCATTAACACACTTTATATATACATATATACATATATATATATATATATAGAGTACTCTTCCGGTCAGGTATACCTGACCGGAGCCCCGTCCGACCTCCTCCATTTGGGGGTCTTCCCGGTGTTATTTTTTGCTTAAATTTTTTGTGTAGGTTCCTCATCAAGTCTAGTTCATCCATACCAAATTTCAGCCAAAAACTCAATCGGGAAGGTTGTCAAATGATTTTTGCAAGTTAACTGGTCCGAAAAATACATATTCCGGACCAGTTAACTTGCAAAAATCATTTGACGACCTTCCCGATTGAATTTTTGGCTGAAATTTGGTATGGATGAACTAGACTTGATGAGGAACCTACACAAAAAATTTGAGCAAAAAATACCACCGGGAAGACCCTCAAATGGAGGAGGCCGGACGGGGGGAGTGGTCTGGCCTGGCCGGACCTGAACATTGTGTATATATATATTTAAAATAGTATTCTATTT